GTTTTAGAGTGGGAGGGGCACAGACACATCTGAGCTGAGCGCTGTTTGTCCCAGCAGTTTTTGAGCCTGTCAGCGTGAGGGAAGACGTTGCTTTTAGCTTTTTAGGTAGCGCGCTGCTAACTTGGAGTTACGTCAGTGCAGGCGGGTGGGGTGGGGGTGCGCGCAGCTCAGTTCAGTAGACTGTGCGCTCGCTTCTGTTGTCGCGGCCGGACACCCCGCTTGTATAATGGCAGGGGAAACACTGACTGCATCAACCACTGATTTATGGTCAAGTTGGTCCACAGAGCCTTACCTGAGTCTGACTGGGAACTGCGCACCTCAGACCTCGAGACCAGCTGCTTTCCTGAGGATCAGGAAATTGGCTGATGGTTGTTCTGATCAGCAGCCCTTTCAGGCAGCATTTCATTAGTTTTCAGCATCTGTCACAAGTTGTGGAAGTTATAGCTCATTTAAAGGCGATATATTTTTTGTTGTATGTTACATTTATGCTCAACAGATCTTAAGCTTTAATTTAGTTTTTTTTTTTTAACTTCACCCGCTCTTTAGTTTTTGTGGTGGATTTATTGATATATATTTTGTACAGACTTTTTCAATCTAAACAACAGAAAGATAATTTTTATTTTCATACTTTGAGACTGAATACTTTACTAAATAAAGTAATTGCAGTAAAATTAACCCTTCTTTTTTTAGTTTATATAATACTGCAAAGCCAACAAGTTAATTTTGTCAAATGAATAACTATGATTTCTGTTTTTTTTTTAACATCACAAAATTTATCGTGATCGTCAGAATGCTCTGAAATATCACAATATTAAATTTGAGCCATATCGCCCACCCCTACTCTGCAGCACGAGTTGAACAGAGCAGAGGCGCTGTTTTCAAAGGAAATTAAGTAAATTTTACAAATGACCAACGCCAAGAAAACTGTTCGACCCAAGTCCTCCAAAGTGTGGGAACACTTGACGCTTCACAAAGATAAAAACTGTGTAATATGCAGCTTTGAAAAGTGACGACATGACACGGGAGAACCACGGAGATAAACGTAAACATGTCGGAGCCATAAACTAACTTCACCGCTGTGTGAATGAAAGAGCTCAGCAGCAGATACAATATGTCTCACTCCCAACTCATCATGTGTTGGAGGTGAGTCTCTACAATATACCACATTTGATCTGTTTCCAAGTGAGAAAATATAACGTCAGTCTCTCTGTAGCTGAAGCTGCTGCTTGTTTATCTGATTAATGACAGTGATGGAGAACGTGTGTTACTTTTTATTTAATTTAATTGCTACAAGCAGTGTTTAAATGTGATTTATAAATAAATCTAACACAAAGATAATAATTTAATGATTAAGCTTCAACTTTTAATTTGCTGGCAAAGTCTGAAGAGACTGCACTGTATGGCAGGATGAATTGCATTTAAACAGGAATTAAAGTAATTTATTACATCTACTCAAATGTGTGTAATTAAGTATCATCCCTTTAGTTGGCAGCTCAGAACACCACATACAGAACACCATGGACTTTGTGGATAAGGTGAGGGATGTCATCATGGAGACTGATGAAACAATGGTCTCTTTTGATGTCACATCACTCTTTACGTGCATTCCTGTTGATGATGCAGTAGAGGTGGTCAGTTTAAGATTAAAATCAGACACCACTCTGAGCAGCAGGACCACGCTTTCCACAGAACAACTGTGTCAACTCTTGAAACTGTGCCTGCAGTCAACCTACTTCACATATGGGGAGCAATATTATAGACAGAAACATGGGTGTGCTATGGGGTCTCCAGTTTCTCCTATTGTTGCCAACTTGTACATGGAGGAGGTAGAAAAGAGAGCCTTGACGTCCTTTTCAGGGACACCACCAAGTCATTGGTTCAGGTATGTTGACGACACCTGGGTTAAAATCAAATCTCAGGAAGTCCAACATTTTACTGACCACATCAACTCTGTGGATAAATACATCAAGTTCACACGAGAAGATGTAAAAAATGGCAGGTTGGCTTTCTTGGACTGTGAGATCTCAGTCTCTGATAGAGGACATTTGCAAACTGAGGTGTACCGCAAACCCACCCACACAGACCAGTATTTGCAGTTTGACTCCCATCACCCTTTGGAGCACAAGTTAGGAGTCATCAGGACTCTGTATCACAGAGCAGACAGCGTCCCCACTAGCTCAGGAGCCAGGCAGAAGGAGAAATCCCACACAAGACAGGCTCTAGAGCAATGTGGGTATCCTAACTGGGCCTTCCTGAAAGCAGAGAAGAAACCCAAACAGGACTCCAGTCAGCCATCAGGTGAAAAGGAGGAACCCAGACCCAGACCAGTGGTCATTCCATATGTTGAGGGAGTATCAGAGAAACTGAGACATTTATTTTCTACACGCAATGTCCCAGTAGCTTTTAAACCCCAAAATACATTACGGCAAAGACTGGTTCATCCCAAAGATCCAGTCCCCCGGCACAACCAGAGTAATATTGTGTATGCTGTTCAGTGTCAGGAGGGTGATCAGTCTTACATCGGGGAAACTAAACAGCCACTGGCCAAAAGGATGGCCCAGCACAGAAGATCAACATCATCAGGCCAGGACTCTGCGGTCTACACTCATCTCCAGGCCAGAGGTCACTCTTTCAGGGATGAAGATGTTCACATCCTGGATAGAGAGCAACGATGGTTTGAGAGAGGAGTAAAGGAGGCCATCTTTGTGAAAAGAAATTGTCCATCATTAAACAGGGGTGGAGGCCTCCGGGTTCAACTGTCCCCCTCTTACAATGCTGTGATTGCTAGTATCACTCAGCCCTCTGTGAACAGTAAACAGCCATCAGTGTGTTAATGATCCATTGTTAGGCTGATGGTCCTTCTTGATCATGTGAGCAGCTGGTTTTGGTTGTCAGCAGCAAAACTGGTTGATCCACCCTGAGAAGGTGCTATTTAAGTGACTGAGCTGAATACAGCACCTCAGACTGAGGAATTCTTTCGGATGAAAGACGAAACGTTTCTACATTTTATTTTGTTGTTTTGCTTTGTTTTGTTTTTTGAATGTCCAGAGGAGCAGATTGAACTTTTTTGGATTTTTCTACCTGGATTATTGAGCATGCATCAGGATACTATTGGTTATTCATCCATATTTCATATTTGCCATAGTTTCATATTTTTGTCATTATTCACACTGAAAATAAATGTTACAGAATTGTGTATTTAAATTACCGGATTCTTTTGTCTTTTCTTCGAGAGAGGGGGATTTAACTTGCTACAAGGACTCGCGTAAATATACAGTATATTATTTGTTGGGTTGAAGCCAGCCAACATTACAGTTTGCGTAAACACCTGTTAAAGGGTGCTCAGACCAAGCTTCCCCTCTACAAAAGTTTGTCAGCTATTTCAGCTTGTCACATTGGATTTGGCAATAAATCTTTTGGACAGCACCCATTAGTGGGTCGCCTCAAGAAGGGGGCACGACGTAGGCTGCCGGTCTCTAGTCCTCTGGTACCATTGTGGGATCTCTCACTGGTGCTGGAAGCCCTCCGTAATCATGCCTTTGAACCTGTGGAGGGGGCAGGGATGAAATTTCTTTCTTTTAAGACTGCCCTGCTTTTAGCTTTAACCACAGCTAAAAGGGTGATCGATTTACTTGCGTTATTAGCCTTTCCTGTTTGCAGTGGGCACCTGGGTTCTCTAAGGCGTGCCTGAGGCCCATTCCGGCTTTTGTGCCTAAGGTGATAAATTCTATGTACCGATGTTGTTCAGTAGAGCTGTTAGCTTTCCATCCACCTCCATTCTCATCTGAAAAGGAGCAAAACTTTAACTCATTGTGTCCTGTGCGGTACCTGAAAGCATATATTGACAGGACAGCTGACTTCAGGAAGTCAGACCTGTTTGTTTCTTATGTCTCAACTCATAAAGGGAAACCAGTGTCATGCCAGAGGCTGGCACACTGGATTGTGGAAACAATTAGTCTCGGTTACAGATGTAGGGATACAGAGCCCCTGACTAAGCTGAAAGCCCATTCTATCAGGAGCATGGCCACATCATGGGCCCTGCTTTGAGGGGTATCGGTCCAAGATAT